GAATCGTCCTCCTTATCCTCCTCTCGGCCCCCTCCTCCTCCTCCTCCTTCCCCTCCTCCTTCTCCTCCTCCTCCTCTTCACCCTCCCAGCGATCACCATCCTCCACTACTGTCGTTATCGCCGCCACAGGCCACAGGCCAGGGAGAAGAAGGAGGAGGAGGAGGAAGAGGAGGAGGAGGAGAAAGAGGAGGAGGAAGGGGGGGGGAGGAGGAGGAGGAGGAGGAGGAGGAGGAGGAGGAGGAGGAGAGGAGGAGGAGGAGGAGGAGGAGGAGGAAGGAGGAGGAGGAGGAGGGGGAGGACGAGGAGGAGGAGGAGGAGGAGGAGGAGGAGGAGGAGCAAGAGGAGGAGTGGGAGGAGGAGGAGGAGGAGGAGGAAGAAGAGGAGGAGGAGGAGGAGGCGGAGGAGGAGGAGGGGGGGGAGGAGGGGCGATCCAACGAGGAGAGCGAAGTGCCGCGGACGAAGGAGCCGCTGGCTCCCAGAGGCTGCGGCCAGGGCAGGAGGGGGCCAGCACTACCCAGCTCCGCCGGCTGGAGGGGCGCAGCCCGGAGGGCGGCCGGGTGCACGTAGCCAAGTATAGCCGACGGACATGTCCTTGTGTACGCATGTCTATATACGTATGTCCAGATGTGTGTATGTATGTATGCGCATGCAAATGAAGACAGAGAGAGAGAGAGAGGAAAAGAGAAAGAGAGAAAGAGAGAGAGAGAGAGAGAGAGAGATCCTGCATCCTCACACGTGCCTGCATTCGCATGGCGAAGGCTGGTATCGCTGCTTCGCCGGTGTGCTGCCGTTTGTTGGCACTGACAGCGGCAGGGAATCGCGGCAGGGCGCGAGGAGAGCGCAACACGCGCGCGCGCGCTGGTGCCTCACACGGCCAGCCTGCCGCCCTGAGGCACGCCAGCCTCCCCGACACCTGCACCGAGGCACCTCTCCATCACCCCATGGAGGCCCCGCCCCCGCCTCTGGCGACTCCGCAAGGCTCACGACGAATGCGGGCTGCGACCCGCACCCGGGAGGGCGGGCGGGGACCTCGGCGGAGCTCTCCGCCGGCGCCCCGAGGAGGCCCGACGAGGGCAGCGCGGTGCCCTCCAAGCCCCCGCGACGCACAGCGCAGACCACATCCTGAGCGTAACTGACTACCTACCAGACCACCCCAACCCAACCCAAAGACCAGAATTTGACCCGAACTTCGGGTTGGGGGGGGTACGGGTTCCATATGTGTTTTTCAACCCACTGAACCCACTGGAAATGGAGGGCGAGTTGAGGCCTTCGGGTTGGGTTGGGTTGGATTGAGTAACCACGCCCCCGTAGTCGCCGGCGCCTGCCCAGGGGAGCAGCTCCGCCTCCCGGCGGGCCCAGGCCCGAGGCCCAAGTGAGGCCCGAGCGAGGCGAGCGAGGCCCGAGCCTTCGAGGGCAGGGCGCGCGGCGGGAGCTGCACGCCGTTTCCCGCGCCCGACGCCTGGCGGCACCTGGCTTCAGTCGGGCGTGTCCCTGAACAGGGGGATTTTTGGCGATTCAAAAAAATCCCCAAACATACCCCCAAGTGGTCAGAACATCTTCAAAAAGTAGTCCCCAGACTATTGTTGGACCATGTTTTGACTATTTTGGGGGTATTTTTGATTTTTCGTCGACAGTGCTCCTGTAGGGGGACACGCCCGACGCAACACTTGGCCTGCGAGCACGGCAGGCGCCAGCGCCGCCGCAACGTGGTTGCACCTGGCAGGAGCGGGGGCGCCAAAGCGCCAGGCCTCCTGTCAGAGGAAAAGATACCCATCCGCCTCCCATGCCTCTGAAGGGACCCTGGGACACACAAATAAATACACAAATGCACACAAATATAATATTTCCCCATATTTTCCCATATGTTCTGGGTTTTTGTCTTCCCCCCCACACTTCCTATATTTTCCAATATTTTCTGGGGGATCGGCGATTAATTGTGTCTGTGTGTTTTGTCCCCTCTTGAAAGATACCCATCCGCCTCCCATGCCGACCCCGCGGAGCTGCGCACGCCGGCCGCGAGCCTGGCGCGCAGAAGAGCCGCGCGCCCAGCAGGACGCGCGCCCGCGAGCACGGAGAGGTGCGGTGCACGAGCCCGGCCCGCCAGAGCACGACCGCCCTGACGAGGCCATGGCCGCCACGGCACAGTTCAGCACGTCCGCGCCGCGCAGGCCAGCCTGCTGGCGCCCTCCGCGCCGCCCGCCGGCCCGAGCAGCGCCCGCAGCTCCGGAACGACGCCCCCGGTGCGGGCGCGCGGGCGGGCCGCCGGACCTCCGGAGAGCTTCGGGCCAAGCCCTGCAGATGGTTTAGACGCCCGAAATGGGTACCGAAAGGATGGGTACAATGCCCAACAACAAATGTTGTCCCAAACCGACAGCGGCCGCTGTTGGGCAGGCGGCCTTCTGTCTCGACTGGACACAGGCCGCGGCGGCGCGGACAGCGAGCCCTGTTCAGAATGAACAGGAACTGCTGTTGGGCATCGTACCCATTCTTTCCGTACCCATGTCGGGCGTCCAGAGATGGGACGGGCACATCAGCCGGACACCGTGGACCCGGGCTCAACCCAAGCCGTGTCTGCCGGTGTCGTCTTGTGCTCGCTCTCCCTCGTTCTGTCTCTTCGTCCCGCCCTTGCTGCAGAGCGAGATCAAGAGGAAGACGGTCCACCAAATCGCCAGAACACCAATTAGCTCGAGCACTGCCGTAGATCCCGACGTGGCACCGCATTACGGTGACTGGCACGGCCGCGAGCCTAAATGGCTAGAGGGCAGCAGAAACGGAAGCAGGAGCAGGAGGAGGGGCAGCATGAGGAAGGGCTGGAGGTAGACGAGCTGTTCCCCTTCCAGTGCTTGCACTATGGAGCTCTTAGTCGGCTGCAGAGAAATTGGACACAATAGTCAGTAGTTATTCGTCTTGCCCTGGTGCTATAGGTGTTGCTCTGTGAACGCTGCCATGTGTTCCTTAGTAGTTGCGATGTCTCATTCTTGCCCTTGTGCAGTGTGCGTAGTACTCTGTGGCGGATGCTCCATGTGTACATCATTGGCTACAGATTATGATGTTTGCCCTAGTGCCCTACAGGCAGTGCTCTATGGTTGGCGCCCTATTATCATGCTCTGACTGGTACGCGTTTCTCGTTCTTGTCTTGGTGCTCTGCGGGTGGTGATCCATGGCTGGCGCGATATGTACCGCCGTTTCATGGTTGCGATATTCGCGCTCTTACCTTGGAGCTCCGTTGATCGTGATCGATGGCTGGCGCCCAGAGATGCTCAAATGGTTGCAGTGCTTCCTTGTTGCCCCTGTGTTCAATTGGCGGTGCTCTGCATCAGGCTGGTGCCCTATGATGCACTCATGGCTAGGGACCAAAGGTGTCTTGCTTGGCACGAGAGGACTTGAGAGGTAGCTGTTGCGATGTCTCGTCGCCACCCTGCTGCCACATAGGTGGTGACCACTGGCTCGTGCCCCACTCTGCCGCCGTCGCCGAGCGTTCTGGTCGCCGCCCTGGTGCTCCGTGCCCGGTGCTCGAATTTCTGCTCGTGCCCGAGGATGCCCCGCATCGTCGCGAGTTCTGGTCGTCGCCCTGGCACCCTATGGCTGGTGGGTGCCCTCTCTGCTGGGGCTACACTAAACAGCCGAACTCTATACACCGACGCGTTTTTTCCGGCCCCGCACTGAGATTGCCACAAGAAAGCGGAACCTTGTGTATACGGGATCCTGGAGTACGCACGTCTCTTTGCTTCCCCGGGAGAACGGGAAAAAAAAGGATACGCCACACCAACCCGACGTGTCGTCCCCGACCCTCAAAAAAGCCCTGGAATTGAAAGACAGCCCGCCGCTGGTAATGTAGATGTTCCAGTTTCCGATCTATGACGCCCCAACTGCCACGATGTCGAATTGCCGCCCGCACGCCGTGCGTAACGGTGGGGCTCTTGGGGCGCCAGCGCCATGGTGCTTCTATGGACTCGCTTCGTCTTCCTTGCCTTGGTGCCCTACGAGCTGCGCTCCATCTCCGGCGTCCTGCGATGCGTTAGCGATTGCGATGTACCGTTCCTGCCCGGGTGCCCTGTGGCCAGAGGTCTAGAATCCCTTCAGATTGCGATACTTCGTGCTCTGGGGCTGGTGTCGTACGGTGCCTCCCTAAGACGATTTCTCGTCTTGGTACCATCTGGGCAGTGCTCTCTGGCTGGCGTCGTAGGGCTGGCCCCCATGATGGCTTAACGGGTGCTGGTTCTCGTCCGTACCTTGGCGCCTTATGGGCGTTGATCTACGGCTTGTGCCCTAGGATGGCATATGGGGGTGGGCTTCCTGCAGTCCTGGGGCGACGACGGACGACGACTACGACGACGAAGGCGGACTGCGGATTGGGTGCATGTTTGGGGAGAGAGAGAGAGAGAGAGAAGCGGGGGGGTGCTGCGTAGGCGGCTTGCAGTCCCCAGGGGCGACGAAGACGACGACGTCGACGACGACGACGACAACGACGGCGGCCCTTTGCGGATGGCATGTAATGGGGGGATGTGCGCAAGCGGCTTGCAGTCCGGGAGATCGACGACGACGACGACAACGGCAATGTGCGGATGGCATGCAGGGGAGGGAAGGAGTGCTGCGCAGGCAGGTTTCAGTCCCGGCGGACGACGACGACGACGACGACGACGACGACGACGACGACGACGTTGACGACGACGGCCCTTGCGGACGCCATGTAAGGGGGCGGGAGAAGGGGGCTGCACCGGCGTCCTGCAGTCCTGGGGCGACGACGACGACGGCCGACGGCGACGACGGTGGCGACGACAAACGACGAAGGATGAACGACGAACGTCGAACAACGAACGATGAACGACGAACGTCGAACGACGAACGACGGACAACGACGACGACGACGACGACGTGATGATGACCGAAGCCGCTTCGCCCCTATCGATGTTATTCGTCTGCCCTACACCACGGGAAGGCGAACCCCGGGGGGGCGTCTTTGTATCGACGACCTCCAGTATGTTACCTTTGATGGTTGCGCCTTGTGCGTTCTGCCCTTGTGCCGCATGGGCTGTGCTCTAACACAGTTGCTCAATGATACCCTTCTAACTGACGTGCGTTGTTCGCTCTTACGCTGTCGTCTTATGGGCAGTGCTTGATGGCCGGTGCCCTATGATGCGTACGACCGCGCATCGCGGGTTCCAGAACCTGCCGATCGGGGCCCACGCTGGCAGTCATCTGCCCTCCCGCCGCGCGCCCCTACAGCCACGACCTGGCATCCTGCGGCCCGCCCCGCGCAGCGTCGTGGGCGCCTCAGGATCGCACGCCGGCCAGCCCGTGGACCCGGAGCATGTACTTGCCCCACAGCGAGGGGGCGAAGCGCACGCGCCGCAGGCCGGAGAAGCCCTCCGCGAACTCCAGCGAGACCGGCGGCCACAGGCCCCCGGGGGAGGGCGGCACAAGGCAGCGCACCGCCTGCGCCAGCGAGTGCGCCGCCGGGAAGTCGCGCGGCAGCGCCCCGGAGGCCTCTGCGCCCGAGAACCGCACGAGCAGGCCCGGCGCGTCGCCGCCGCTGCAGTCCACCTGCACGGCCTGGCAGCCGAGGCCGAAGCAGGCCAGGCGGGCGGCGACGCCCTCCAGCAGCTCCGCGGCGGCCAGCAGCACGTCGCAGGCGCCCCGCGGGCCACCTTCGAGGGGCTGCGGCTCCGCAGCACTGGCCTCCGCTGCCGCGCCGGCACACGGTGCCGCCTGCCGCAGCACCTCGCGCAGCAGGTCGCCCTCCGACTGGTCGAGCGTCTGCAGGTCCTCCTGCAGCTGGGCCTCGCTCACGCTGAGCAGGCGGAAGAGCTTCAGGTACAGGACGGTCAGCAGCCGCAACGGCCCCGTGTCGCGATCCTGGGGGCGAAACACATGCCGCTGCCCCCCGGCCCTCCCCTGGGGTGCGCTCTGACCAGAACCTCGAAGCGATGCCCAGCGGTGGCGACGAGAGCCTCCAGGGAGGCCCAGCAAGGCGAGCTCGGGGAAGGATGGCGGCAGCGGTACCTTCTCCTCCGCCGAGCTCCGCCGTGCCCCAGACGAGGCCCTGCCGCGGCACCTGCAGGTCCAGCCAGTCCTCCGCGATGCCCACGGGCAGGGCCCTTTCCCTCGGCCCACCGCTCGGGCCCGCGCGCCGCGGAGCCTGCTCGGCGTAGGGGACCAGGAGGGACCCCCCGCCGCCGTCCTCCCCGCGGCGCCGCCGCATCCCGTCGTTGCCTCGCCGCTGCATGCTCCCCATCAGCTCCAGGTGCGCCGCCGCGCTCGCGGGGACCTCGGCGCGGCGGAAGGCGAAGAGCCTGCGGAGCCGGCCGCGGCAGCACAGCAGGCCCGCCTCCCGGAAGATCTCCGCCTCCAGGGCTGCGTCGCGGAAGAAGTCGGCCGCTCTCGGGGAACAGATGCTGGCTTCAACATAGCCTGTCGGAAGTCCGCGTGCATGTCTCGGATCGGCGCCGGAGCCCCCTGGCGGCGCCTCCAGCGGCGCGCTCCGCGCGCTGGGGAGGAGGGTCCAGCGCCGATCCAGGACGTCAGCGCGGGCCTCCGAGAGTGCATGTTTACGCCTAGATGTGTTCTTCGACTCTTGAAGCCCACGATCCACAACGTATTCCACCTCCAGCGGCTCAGCGTCGGCACTTGGACCCGCGACGTACGCGTTCTCGGGTACAGTTATCAGGACTCCCACGGCGGCCAGATCTGCCAAATTCAGGACCACCTGCCGCAGCTCCGTGATCGACCACGACGCGGGCAGGTGCTCCAGCATGTTGAAGCAGAACACCCAGTGGAAGCGGTAGACAAGAACCCGCGGCAGTGGAAGGGAGATGTCGTGGATGATCGCGTCCTCGCCGAGGCTGTCGCTCAGATCGCGGCGCCCGTCGAGGCCGCAGATGTCGGCGCCGAGCTGCCGCAGCAGGCTGACGTACGTGCCGACGCCGGCGCCGACGTCGACGGCCTGCATGTCGAAGCCCAGCCGGTCCGCGTCGAGGGCCAGGATCTGGTCCAGCTTTATGGCGAGGAGGCTGTCGTACTCGTCGCCCTGGGAGTACGCGTGGGTGTACGCTCGCCTCCGCGGCGCCACGACGTATCCCGCCTGGGGATCCGTGGCCTGCGCCCTGCAGTTGTTCTCGATCGCCTGCCCACAGCGCTCCGAGTGGTGCCGGGACGAGCGCATGTCGAAGCAGATCTCGGGGTGGATGCGGGCGGGCATGCTGGCGAAGAGGAGGAAGAGCTCCACGAGGTCCTCGGGCCCATAGTCTGGAGGGCAGGTGAATCTCGCCTTCCCTGGCCTGCCCAGGCAGGTCGCGAAGGCCAGACTCTCGCCCCAGCGCTCCACGAGCGCCTCGAGGTCCATCAGGAAGTCGAACAGCCGCTCCAGCAGCGGGAGAATCACCTCGCTGCGGCCCACGTGCATCCTGTCGCTGGGGACAGGCTGCAAGAAATTGACGGACCGGTGCTGAAGCCACAGCACGGGCAGGTGGTGCTCGAGCTCGCGCTCTGCCGGGAAGGAGCGCCACTCCACGTCGAGGCGCGCAAACATCACCCACTTGAACTGCACGCCCTGCTCCTGGCGGCCCCGCACCCAGGCGGCACACTGCAGCCGCTGGTACGCCTGGAAGAAGGCGCTGCGGAAGTGGTACGAGCCGTCCGCGCGCAGGTGGCCGTCCGCAGGCGGAGGCCCCAGGTGCGAGGCGTTGCGAAACTGCCAGCCCCGCTCGGCAAACCTCTGCACCCTCGCCTCGAACAGCTCCGCGACCCCGTCGCGGCCGTAGCAGCCGACCTGCGGCATGCCGTCCGGCAGAGAGGCCTCGAGCTGCTGCTGCAGCGTGGCGCAGCCGTCGCCCGTGGTGACGCCCAGGACCTCGAATGACGAGAACTGCTCCACGACCAGCCGCCAGCTGGCCATGTCCATGCTGGAGCACACCTGACGCACCTCACCGCCAAGGCAGAGACCGAGCCCCTTCTGCATGGAGGCCTCCGCTCCAGGCAGAGCCCTCGAAGAGTGGAGTGCCGCCTGCAAGAGGACTGCCTGCACGAAACACCTCGCCCCTCGGCCACAGTTGCCACGTCTAGCCATCGCTGCAGGCGGAAACAGGCCGTCGACATGGCCGCAGCTCCCAAAACAACTGTCGCCCGAAGCTTGTGGCGAGCTCCAGCCCAAACTGGGGAGATCAAAAGGTGCCGATACCATACCGCTACTCCCCGACCTCTCCAAGGGTGCGTTCCGACGAGAACGTCGGGGCGAATCCAGCAGTGGAGACGAGGGCCTCCCAGGAGGCCCAAAAAGGGGGAATCGAGGGAAGGGTAGCATAATGGGTACCATGCCCCCCTCCGAAAAACAAAAACTATGGAGAAAGACGCCGGACAGCGGACGAGGGGAGCGCAGCCGTCCCCAACATGGAGAGCGGCTGTGGCTTCGGTTTCTCGGGCCACGCATGCGGGCGAGGAGAGGCTGCGCGAGGGCGAGGGAGAGCCTGCCCAGCTGGGGGCGCGCCCCGTGCCTGGCGCGCTGCTCCCAGATTGTCCTGGGGTTCTCCTCTGGGTGCCCCTTGCACGGCGCTTGGCTCCGGGGTCTGGCGGCTGCCCAGTTTCTGCCCCGAGGTGCGGTGGAGCGCAGGATCTGTGCACAACATGTGGCCTGCGTCTACACAAGTCGTCCGATGAAGAACGGAATTGAACAGCCTGACATCTAGAACCATGCATCTACATCATGTGCTAGAGATGTTGTCATGCTCTGGCTGTGCTAACTGGGTCGCAATGCACGAACACAAAGGTACATCAAGCATCAAGCACACACGTACACGCACACTCCAACATATAGTATTATTGCATATCCCCATATTCCCTGCTGCACATCTAAAACAAACGCCTAGAAATATCAATCGCGACACGCTCAGCACGAAACGCGGTGTTGGCAACATGATAAAGCATCCTCGGTATCCAGCCCTGGTCACATTTTCTGTGCGCGGCTCTACCACGGCATAGACAAGACAACTACCGAACGGGCTGTTACATGATATTATGTTTCGCAATGGATCTGCAAATACGGAAGCTGCCGAGGCGTTCAATATCCGTGTCAATCATGCTAGGGTCAGGCCCCTAGACCCTGGATGGCTTAGACCGAAGGTTGCACGCATAGACAGCACTGTCGCAATATCGGTAGATGACTGTAATATTATAGGTTTAAACATATCGCACCATGGGCAAGGCAATCCATACAAGGATATATCCAACACGAACATCGCGTTGTCAATTTATGTATACAGGTAAATGGCGTGGTGCTTACAATGACTACCGTATGTGCTTGGACAAAGATGTACGCCTACGCGATAAGCAGCGACTTCTTTTCCGATTTGGAACACATCTATCATCAATGCAGGCCCCACGGGCCAACACAATTACTTGGAGATTTCAATGCAAGACTCCTGGGGAAATCCGCTGGCGAGGACAATGTTCTGGGAGAGTATGTGTTCCCCAATACGAGAAGCAACTGGGACCCACTCCTCAACAGAGAACTTCTCATCGAAAGATGCACATCAGCAGGCGCATGCATCGCAAACATTTTCTTCGACACACCGCCCGAGCACAATACTACGCTCTACGAGGTCGGCACAATTCCCATGGATCCCGTAGTGCCAGGCAAATTCGAGCAACTCGACCACGTCATCGCTGACAACAACTGGCTTTCAAATACCCAGCATATCTGGAGTGACCAGGCGCGGGCATTGCAATCCCATCATGTCCTGTGCGTTGTCGATATGAATGTTGTCGTTACTATCGTCGTCCTCCGCGATATGATTGGAAGTCTTTACAAAGCGTACCAATAGCCAAGAAATAAATCCATGGCTTCATCGACAACTGAGTAAATACTCAACCTTGCCGTTAAGTGCAGAATAAAGGAGCCACGGTAGCCAAATGTATGATGGACTCAGCTTCTGTTCACGCGCCTCGTCTCTCAGCCACGCCGCACAGACCATGGATCTCATCGCGGACTCTGTTTCTGATTGAGCAACGGAATAATGCGAGAGCGCGGAGCAGTCGCGAAGACATCAAGCACAAGTACAAGTACCCGCGCGGGCCGATAACAAGCAATGTCTGGACGAAGCGGTTGAGAATGGAGGTTGCAAAGCAGCCCGTTCTCTTCGGAAGAAACAAACACCACGCCACGGCCGACTACGAGACAAACATGGGAATTTGGTGGACGCCGAAAAGACAGCAGAGACGACGGCAGACTATCTGGAAGAAGAAGAAGAATGGAACTTATACAAACGCCCCGAACAACTCCAAGGTTTGGAAAACAATGTGGCACCTCTACATGTAAATCTCGGACCCGTCACGTTGGAAGAGGTATGCCAGGCAGTCAAGTATCTACGGATCCAGAGAGCAGCTGGGAGCGCCGGCATCCATCCAAACTTGTGGCTCGTATTCTGGTCAAGCAACGACGTTTTGGACATCATCCGGGAGCTCTGCGACAATTGCTGGCAACAAAAACAGATTCCAGAAGAATGGCGGGAGACTTCTAAGGTCGCACTTTTCCAAACGGGAGACGCATCACAACCAAGCAATTACCGTTGGGTACAAGGTATTGACGAGCACTTCACTGCACAGGCTCGAGGCCGGAGAAGTTGCACAGAGCCTTCGGGAGTCACAGTATGGGTTCAGACCAGGACGCGGCACAGCAGATGCACTATTCTTGGCTCGCCGATTCATCGACGCCACACTGAAGGACAAGTATCGAGAGTTATTGGTTCTACTGTTGGATTGGAGCAAAGCTTTTGACCGTAGAAAGCCTGCTGGCTTACTACACGCCTCACGCCAATTTGGGATCCCCGCAGCCATCACTCACACGGTTGAAGCAGTCTACACGGCACGCAAGTTCGTGAGATGGGCAAGACAAGTCTTCTCAGCGACTTCCTAAGCCAGGTCTAGCACATGGCTGCCCACTATCTCCTCAGTTGCTCGTAAGCGTTATGTCGGTGTTGATGGAAGCCGCGGACGCCGAGAGAAAGGCATACAAGCTGGAGAGAAGCCGCAAACATTACGTCATCACAGAGGACATGTTGTACGCTGACGGCACAATGGTGGTATCTGATGACGGGGCGCGCCTTCAACGTCATGTGAATATGTGGCAAAGATTGGAGAAGCGTTCGGATTGGCACTCAACGAGGGTAAAGCCGTACTACTACAAATCAGGTCTTCAGCAGTGATTCTCGGGCCTCGTGGAGAGCCAATCCATTGCAAAGCTCACACAATATACATGGGCGGCTGTTTCAGCGCGGATGGGAATATCAAAGCAGAGTTGACAAGGCGCCTGGGGGAAGCCAACAGTGTTTCTCAACAACTCAGTGCTGTATGGAAACATGCGAACGCAACCCGACAAAGGAAGGCACACATATTGGAAATATGCATCTTCTCCAAGCTGCTCTATAGCTTGGAGTCGTGTGCACTGCTGGCTGCTGGCTACGTGAAAGCTCGATGGGTTCCAAGCGCGCTGCCTTCGCAGGATCTACAAAATCCTCCCGGCTTTGATTTCTCGAGTTAGCACTGCAGAGGTAGGGTCAACCGTAGGCGCCCGCCCTCTGTCAGCCCTTCTCTTACAGAAGCGCTTGCATCTTTTACTGCGAGTTGGCAAGAGCCCGCCCGAACACTTTGCCTAGACGCATGGTTTCTGAGGGAGGCCGAGTTTCTAGCATATTGCTCAGGGACTGGCATTCCCCACGCAAGCGCAGAAGACCCCGTTTGCAGAGAACTGCATATATGCGAGCGTGCGCCGTGAGCCTAGCAGGAGACGGCCCCGATATATGACATAATCTGCTGAAATCCAACAGCTCAGTGGGACGCAGCTGCCCGACGCTATTACCAATCATTGTGACTATAGTTCCCAGTTTGTCTCCCCTCTCTCTCTCTCTCTCTCTCTCTCCCTCCCTCCCCCATCCTCCCTTCCCCCCCCTCTCTATTGCATGCCGCCCTGCTGGTGCAATTCCCACCCCCGCCCACCACTGAAATATGCAGTGGCTGCGTTCTGGCGCCCCCTGCATTCAGCTCGGACGTGTCTCCCAATGAATTTTCCTGGCTAGTTGTAGCTTGTCATGCTCTGCCGATGCGCCGTCCAGGCGCGGCTTCTTCTTCCTCCTTCCGATACGGTTGAATACGGTGAGATAGCTGGTTCGGTGACTAGTTATCCGGCTGGATACAGGAAGTTAGATTGTCGGCCGCTTGGAAACTAAACGGGGAGGTACGTTTGATGACCCAAGCTTTATGTGCCGTTGGGTCCTGGTCATATTTCCGCAGCGCCGCGTACCTCGCCTCCCTCTTCCCGCGGATGACAGGTGCTGCCCCTCCTCATCCTCCTCCTCTTCCTTCTTTATCCTTCTCCCCCTCCTCCTCCTCTGCCTCCTCTGCCTCCTCCTCTCTCCTCCTCCCCCTCCTCACCAAGATGACAAAACGCCGCTCGGCACCCGCCGCTCCCTGCAAGGCCCCGTCGCCAGCGCCCACTCACGCGCATCGGGGTCCCACAGGAAGCTCCTCCTGCGGCCTCAGTGAGGGTGTGCGCATCTGGGCCCGCGTCCATGTCGGCACACTCCTTCCACGGACCGCGGCCCCGTGAGGAACTCCGCCCATGGACTCCGCGGATCTGTGTGTGTGCGCGTGCGGGCCTGCGCCAGAGCGGGCACGCCCTTCAGACACGGTCATGGCCCCCTGCGGAGCCCAGCAGATGGCTAGTGGAGGCGAAGGCACGTGGCCCACGCCCACTCCGTGCCCGAGAACACGCCTACTCCGTGCCCGAAGGCACCGTGGCGGATATTCATAATCCTACATAAGATTGTCCTCGTCAGTTCGTCGTTGTCTTCAAAATTTTGTGGGGTCTGCACAAATTGGTGGACGCGTATAGTCTGCACGCGCTGGTGGCAGGATCCTGCAAGCTCTGGCACCCCACACGCAGATCGTGTTCCCATACGGAGCTGCACCCGCAGCCCCAAATGCAGGGCGTGCGCATGCGGGGTCCGTGCCGAACTCGGAACACACACACGCACACACACACACACACGCACACACACACACACAACCACACGCGCGCACGCACGCACGCACACACACACACACACACTCTCACACACACACACACACACACACACACGCGCAAACACACAAACACGCAAACGCACAAACACACAAAAACACAAACACACAAACTCACACACACACACACACATACAAACACATCTCACGCGGATCGTGCCCCCGGAGGGAGCTCCACCCACGGGCCCCAGTGGGAGCATCCGCATGCGGGTCCACGCCCACATCGGCACTCCTCTGGCGCGGATCGTGCCCCCGGAGGGAGCTCCACCCACCGCTGCAGTGGAAGCGCTGGCACCCAGGCCCACGCCGAACTCGGCCCACCTCCCGCGCGGATC